CCCCAGGGGGGATGGTCACGCCGCAATCCCTTCTCCTCCATTCTCCTCTCGGGATCTTGGGCACGCACGCACACGCGCCCGGCGTGAGTTTTAAGCCTCCAGGTCCAGGACACGAACCGCGGTCGACTACGTGGGAGTCCAGCGACATAGCCATTACGCTAACCGCTGGTTCCCCACGCAGGCTGCTTATTATTTATTTATTTATTCGTTTTTGCCAGAGGGTACGTGTGCTTGAGAGAGCGACACAGAGAGAGGAGGGACATGAGGAAGGACTCCTACCCACCCATGGGTGTGGTCCACCACAGTCCCTTCTCCTCCATCTCTCCCTCCCTTTGAGGTTGTGGGCACCTGCACCCAGGCCCAGTGCGTTCCCCAAGCTGCTGGGTCTGGGACTTGAAAGGCACAGTCGGCCACGTGGGATCCAGCCTGAACCATCACATCACTGGCTGGCCCAGTGGCTGCTGTTTAACCGCTGGGGGTCTCAGCTTCCTCTTCTGAGGCGGACGCCTGTGGTGCCAGTTCACGGGTGGCAGGTGCGGACCATCGCAGCCCCTCCAGCCGGGCCTGGCCCTCACCATGCCCTTGGCTCCTGCGCCGGCATTGCGCCGGTTGTCCCACCCTGGTGAGCCAGAGCAGGACTTGTGCCAAGACGCTGCTCGTAGCTGCAGAGGTCTTAGCGGGTTGTAGGGCCACCTTCACAGCAGCCCCCTGCTCCGAGCCAGCGTCCTGGGAGAGTTCTGTGCATGGAAGCTCAAGTGCTCTGTGGGAGACGAGGCCTGCTGTCCTGAAGCCTGTGTCCCTGATGCGACCCTCTAGCCAGGACTGACACCGCAAGACAAAGGTCCTGCCAAGGAGGAAACAGAGGGCCCGAGGTCCCACGCAGGGCACGCAGCTAGGTGACAGCAGCTACAGAACTGGAACCCCAGGCTCCTGTCCCAGTCGAGGGTCTGACGCGTGACTTCCCAGACCTCACTCCTACCCACCACCCCTGAGCACATGCCTGTGTGCCTGCGGGCACACACGTCAGCACACGCGCTCACACGGACAGCCAGCTGGGAGTGCCCTGGCCACTGATTCTCAGGAGCAGCTGCGGCTTAGACTCCCCTTCACTCCCCTGCCCGGTTACGCAAGTCTCTTCCAATTCCGCTCTCAGCACACGGCATGTGGGTTCCCAGACCTTAATCCGCCTGGGGCTGCGGTGGTGAGATTGGCTCCACTCCGGCTTCACAAAGACTGCTCTGTCGAGCCGCTGGATGAGTGAGCTCCTGTCTAGGCCACGAGGCCGGCTCAGAGGGGGCAGCACACAGGAGCCCACAGTCTAGCTTAACAACCTGCACGTGTGCGGCTCTTTAAATGGAGGGGTCTGGCTTTTGAGAGCCAGAGCAGAGCTGCGCTAGCTGCTGGCAGGGAGCGGGGCTGAGGATGGCAGAGTCCGGTACCCTGCCCAGCGGCTTCGGAGAGCTCGAGGTGCTGGCTGTGGGGACAGTGCTGCTTGTGGAAGGTGAGCTCCTAGGTGGAGAGGACCCCAAGCCCAGCTGGGGCACCATGTCCTCTCGCTGCTTGCTCTTCTGGGCCTGCCCGTGAGACGTGGCATGCCAACTGGGAGTGACGAGAGACAAGCCAGGTGAGGGTTAGAGATGGAGAGACCTCAGGAGCGGTCAGCTGCCTGGAGGGAATCAGCCAAGCTTAGGACTTTCTCCTCCACCAGGAAAAAACGTAGTCCACTCCCTGGAAATCCTGCTAAGAACCCGGTGTAAGAGCAGGTCCCTGGAAGGCTCTGGAGACAGATAGCCTTGCCGCCTGCTCTCGTGTGACTGTAACCAAGTGACTCAGTCCCCTGAGCTCAGCACCTCTCATTCCACGGGCTCCTCGGTACCCAGTGCTGACCATAGACACACTGACGCCAGCCCCGCCCTCCGAGGCTGTCCCTGACAGTGTGCCGCAGTGGCCCTGGACGAGTCAGTTTTGAGTCAGAAAGACCTGAGTTTGAATTCTGCTCCGCCACTTACTAGCTGGGTAGGAAGAGCCAGTGGGCCTCAGCTGCCCAAAGCTGCTCGAGAGGGCGATCTCCAGGTGAAGATGCAGTGAGGTGGCCACAGGGCCTTGCAGCGGCCAGTACTCCACAGCGTCCGAGACTGACGGTGACAGCATGCACCTGCTGGCTGGACGCCCTGGCTTCCTTGTCTGTCCACCCTGTGGCTGGGAGCTGACAGAGGGCAGGGTGATGCCCTGTGTCCTTGTGGATCTGAGGGCAGCCGCTGGGGGACGTTAGGAGCTGCACCCAGAGGGCCTGGCTGAGGCGGGGTAGCTGTCTGCCCCCTGCCCCACAGACCCGGGCTCTTCCCCAGGTGGGCCTCGCTGCCTGATGCCAGCCACACCTTCCTTTCAGCTCTCTCCGGCCTCAGCCTCAATAGCCTGACCGTCTTCTCTTTCTGCAAGAGCCCCGAGCTGCGGACCCCCAGCCACCTGCTGGTGCTGAGTGTGGCTCTGGCGGACAGCGGGATCAGCCTGAATGCTCTCATCGCCGCCACATCCAGCCTCCTCCGGTACCGCCCCTCCCCAGCGCAGCCCTGGGGCCGCGGGGCCTGAGCTGGAGCCTGCCCTGCGCTCCACCCCTGTAGCGGTGACCACTGTACTGAGTCCGTGTCCTCACAGGGAGATCACGGTGATGAGGCCCTCTTTGGAGGGCCGGCAGGAGGCAAGAGGGACAGAGGGGAGGGTCACTGTGCCCATGTCTTCCACAGGCGCTGGCCCTACGGCTCAGACGGCTGCAAGGCTCATGGCTTCCAGGGCTTCGCAACAGCGTTGGCCAGCATCTCTGGCAGCGCGGCCATCGCCTGGGGGCGCTATCACCAGTACTGCACTCGTATGTCTGGGCTCCCAGGGTGGGCGCCCTGCAGGGAAGGGCAGCAGGCACGGAGGGGTGAGAAGGGTGAAGGCCTGCTCGGTGTTTCCCAGTCAGGGTGTGCGCCTAGTGCATGTGTGTGTGCGTGTGCGTGTGAAGCACTCTGCAGGGCGGAAGGGGGCGAGGTGCAGGAAACCTGTTAACGAGGTTGTCTCCTGCCATTGCTGCATCTGGAGTAAGTCGGGGATTCTCCCTGAACCTCAGTCTCCTCCTCTGCAAGACGGGTTTAATAATCAAGCCATTTCATTTTGAAAATCAAATGCTCATGGATGCTGAAAACACCCATGCAGACAGGCACTGCTGGGAGCTGAGGGGCCGTGTGCGTGCACAGCAGGCTTGTGCCTGCCCCTCACACCTCCATAGGGCTCCCCGCCTCACACACGCACACACACACACATACACCACCCGCTCCGAAAGCAACAGGCTCCTTGCCTCAGGGGAGAGCAGGGAGTCGTTGTGTTCCAGAAAAGCCTCAGATCTCAGTCTTGCGAGTCCTGGAGGACGTGGCGGAGTGGGCAAGGCAGGAAGGTGCAGAGGTCGAGCCCCTCCTCCGCGCTGCATGGCTGGGCACGTCGCCTTGGCCATCTGTTTCTAGAACGAGAAGCCCCTGCGGCTCTCGCCGGCGCCAATGCCCAGCCCACGTGGGGCGGCCCAGGTGCTGTAACTAGAGCCGTGCACTGGGCAGCGTGAGCAACAGAAATCCAGTTCTCTCAGTCCAAGGTGGGGAGCGGGACATTGGAGCCAGCGCCCTCAGGGCTGGTGCAGGCGCCCTCTCCCCTGGTGTGCGGGGTGCCTTCTTACTGCGTCCTTACACGGTGGGGGTCACCACCGACCGCCTCTCCCCAGTCCCTTCTTACGTGTGCACGAACCTCATCGTGGGGACCTCATGACCTCTCCAAGGCCCCACCTCCAGAGGTCATCACACGGGGGTGGGGGAGCAGGACTCCAGTGCATTTAGGGGAGACATTTAGTGCCTCGCTGGGGGTCACCAGCAAACTTTGCCTGGCTTCCATGGGGAGGCACAGGGGGTCCCAGCTCCTCCTCTGCTGACTCCACCCTGCCTGGAGGCCTGTCCTCTGGCCTGGAGGTTTGTCTGTGAAGGAGCAGGACAGATAAGCCAGACAGAAGGGCACCTGGGAACGGCATTGAAGACGCTGGTTCCCGACCGCCTGGGAGCCAGTTCAGTGAGGCTGCAGCAGAGAGGGAACCTGGGAGGAGGGACAGGTATGGGCCAGGGCCAGGTCTGGGTGCTGGATTGCACCTGCAGATGCTGTGCGATTCAGCCTCTGCCCCTGGCCCTGAGGTGGGGCTGACCCCCAGGCAGGAGTTCCCGAGGGTATGCTGGGACAGAACTGGCCCAATAGTGAGCAAGGGCTTGGGGCGTTAAATCCAGACGGCAGGCTCCTCCCCCAAGGCTCACACCTTCCTAACCTTGGCTTCGGGAAGGTCCATCCCAGCCGCTCCTCAGAAGGAGGCGGAGGGTAGGAGGAGGCCTC